GATAAACTATTCCACAAGCATTGCCAAAACAATAATTAATCACCCAATTTGAGAACACAACGTTAATTGGGGTTTTGGTCAACTTCGTTATAAAGAAATGCGATGCCTTAGGCTTAAGGAGAAGTCAAGCGTTCCCTCTGCTGTTTTTACATCTTGTAGGCTTGTAATATAAAACAATGCGCTATGGTCTTTAATTATAATTATGACGTGATGAAATGGTTAGTGCCTTATTAATCCTCTTCTTAATCTATGATATCTATCTATCTCGGGTTTCACATTACAAGTTACAACTATTTCAACGAAATTATTAAGGTCAATACTCAATATGATACCAATCATTCTCATACATTGGTCGAAAAATATAGATTTATATATTTTAACTCAAGATAACGGACCGTGAGAGTTGAAATCTTGCCGTAGATGTACGGGGTGTGACCAAAATGCTCAATCAAACATTTTCAATATTTTGTAATATATGTGTATAAGACAAGAAGTATGTCGAGAAAGATGAACGAGACTAAATACTTTGGATTTAGATACCATATTATCCACAGCCATACTATCATTATCTACACAATTCAAATAATAAAAAGTCCAATTATCTTTTATGTGACTTTATGCATATTCATGATCAAATATGGCTTTGCACTATCCTTGTATTTTTCCTGGATAAGGAATTTACTCGAAAGCATGGGAAAGACTGAGTGGATGATCCATAATTAAAGGTATGTGAAAGCTTATGCTTATTTCTCAAAGTCAGGTTTTGCCTTAGCTTTTATCATTTAGTTCCTTAGGATAAGTATATATGGCAGAAATTTGTCTGCTTTTCTTTGGTTGTGCATGGAAGGTGCACAAAATATTACCTCCCACTTTCATATATTAGCACTTTACACAAGAATTGATTTTCCTTGTTTATGGACATGACCAAATTTTTGCTTTTCCAACATGGGGTTTCTCATCATTTTGAGGTTCAAATGCCCTCAACGTGTCATGATTTGCTTAGTTTTGTTATGAATAAGCAATTGGGGTTTCCATCAATCTCTTGAAAATCATGGTTTTGGATTTATTTCTATAATAATATGAAAAATATTTTCCTCCTCATGTAAGTAAAAACTTATATATTCATGTGAATAGCAGTATGATATGCGGGAGGATGTTTATCTTGATGAACTATTTTTACATATATGTCAAATTCCGATTTGCATAAAAAAAATTATGAAGCAAGCAGTATCCTAATAATGTTACATAATTTCCTCTTTGCATAACAACTCACAAAGTGCATACACCTGCTTGAAATCGAAAGCTAGCTGTTTACCATAACGAAATTGGAAGCTAGCTTTGATGTGATAATTACTTATTCGGAATAATTACCACTTTGAAAAGATGAAAACCTACGTGTCATTAACCTGACAGAGTCATGGTTTCCCCTTAAGACTACCAAATCTAAATTAATCACAACAAAACTTTGTTAATATCTCCCAATTTGATTGGAAAACCAAATTAATTAATACTTATTTTGTCATTATTTCGATATGAGGAGACATTTAATTTTAATTTACTTCTCCTTTCATTGATCCAAAGCCTGTTTTTTTACGTTTAAACAAAAGTGATTTGAAATTAAAATTCAAATCCTTTTTGTGTGAGTCAATATCTGGTCAACCAGCACCAGAAATTAACACATACACACAAGTGCCTCCCTCTCCGGCTGGATTTCAGTTGTGGGGCCCATATAAGGATGGACAACCTCTTTAGGGTCAGTAGGCCCCACACTCGTATATGTCCTTTCTTGGTGGGCCTCCAAAATAAAATGCTGTCTGGACTAAAACGACATGCCGTGTCAAATGGGCTTCTTTTTCCTAATAGGCCGATGTGTGTAGAAATAAAATGGGCTTTTCATAAATAGACACAATCTAACAAGACGTTTTTTTATAATAAAAAACCCTTTAAGTTCAATGCTTTTTGTATAAATAGACTTTCTAAGGATTTTTGTATAAAATAACATATTAAAATGGGCCTATTGTGAAAAGCTAAAATAAAAATTGTGGTGGTAGATGAAACCCTTATCATATGGTTGGACCGTAATTTTAGGGTAATGATTTCCCCACTCAAAATTTATCTACTTACACTTTTTTTTTAGTTATAAAATAGAGTATAAGTAGATAAAATTGGAGTGGGGAAATCACCACTCTAATTTTATTCTTACTATAGTTTTTTTTTGTTGCTAAATAACTTTTATCAACAGTGATTCATTGAAAAAACTTGTGTGTAAAATTGGTTTCCACAACTCATCTCCTCCATCATGTTAAAGGCAAATCCAATAAAGCAAATCCTATACATCCCTATAAAGCAAAAAACCATCTCCATCCACCCCCAAAAAAAGAAACAACCATACCTTAATTCTCATACCAGATTTCATTTAAGAATAAAGTTAATATTGCCCACAGAAAATAACCAACTATATTCCAAAAAATAAAGTAAAATCAGCAAGGTCATTTCTTCTCCTCGGTAATTTTTGGTTTTTATACCTAAGACTACATGTGTCTCACACACATGAGTGATAATCTAAACTACAAAGAAATGAGTTTCTCACACACACACTATGTGTCATGGTAGTTCGAACTTGAGATAACTGGTATGCAAATCAATACCCTTTTTCACTCGACTAGACCCTATTGACCCTATTATAATATTGTTATACAACAAGAATGATACAAATCCAATTTATAAACCTTTAATATACATGGAGCATCTTTGTGTACACAATTATTAAAGATGAATTTTGCTCTATGTGTCGTCCACTTGTTTGCCATTTTATGGTGTGACATGTTATGTCAAGTCATAATCAGACTTATCTTGAGTTTTATGTTTCTTCTAGTTTCTTAATTTTGTTGGCTGTTCTTTTGGAGTGGCCTGTATTTGAAATCTTTTTTTTATTATTATAAAGTTTTTGTAAATTTATCTTGTAAATTTACCAAGTTTCGAAGAAAACTCACTTTCTACCAAACAAAATAATAATAATTTACACAAATAATTCAGTCAATTCTTATGGTTTGCGAAGTGTAGTCCATATCATCATCATCATCACCATGAAACCCTATCCTTTTTTTTTTCTTTTTTCTCCATGCATTTGCTTTCCCTGGTTTTCAATCCCTTTCCTCTTGCACAACACCTTTTTCTTTAGTTTCCACTTTCTTCTGAAGAAACCCATTGACATTTTTGGTACAAGATAACAAAGCTAGTAAATAAAAGGTAAACTAGGGTAGAAATTAGGTGACAAATTTTTTTGATCCATTGTACATGCCACTTCTTTGCAGTAAAACAATGAATTTCTGAGTCACAAGTTCTATAGCTCTGAATTTCTTGCAATCACTTATTAGGCACGAAAGCAATAGCCTTTCACTTTTTTGACTTTTTTTTATAAAGGTTCATTAATTTACGGGTTTTTTTGTTAAACCGAAAAATAAAAAGGGTGCCAGGCAAAAGGACCAGTAATTATTTTTCTTTGTGATATTGTCTTTTGGGGTCAATAAGTCTCTTTTACACCAAAACAAAATCTCCACTCATTCTTTTGCTTTAACTTTTGTTATCATTTTTGTTTTCAAGAAAACATCCATGGGAGACATCTTCCTGATTTTCTTCATTTTGGAGCCAGGTGGCTACACAAGGATGCATGAGGCTTAAAGAATTTCCAATTACCAATTGATTGCAACAAAGTTAGGACCCTACACATTCATTATACATATAGAAAGTCTCACACTCAAGGTTAATTTATTTATACTTTAAGGTAAAGTGTGCAAACCTAGTAAAATGGGAAAGAAAATCGATGTGAGAAATGAATGCATTTTGCCCTTCAAATATCATATATTCCAAATTCTTTGCAACTAATAGGATCTGTAATGGGCTCTCTAAATCACATTTTAAGGCAAATTTTAAAAAAGAATTGGAAAAATATAATTCCAACTATGCTCCCTATCCACCTCTTAAAATAGGGAGACCTTTAAGAGCTCCTAAATATAAAGAGAGAGAAAAGACTCCTAGTGGCTCCCTATAATTTATCGATGCTTTGTTTTATGCATATTTTAAACTTGTAATTGACACTAGCTATTTTTTCATACCATTTTTTATATCAATTATATTGAATTAACAAAATAATTATAGTATTTATGACTCCCTAAACTAGATAGTATCATTGGAGTTCGAATTTTATAGAGAGCTCCTAATAAAACTTTTGTGTGTATTTAGCTAATTTTTTATTATAAAAAAAACAGAGAGCATGATTGTAGATGCTATAAAAATAGTTCATTAAAAAAACACCCTAAAAAAATAGATAAATAAAAAAAATAAAATTCATTAAGGCTCACAAGGGAACAAAAAGAAGAAAACACAAAGGAGAAGGGCTTAACCCCAAGACCAACATACAAAAACTAGACCTAGAAACCCACGAAAGTGTAAAGTGTGGAGTGGACTTAGTTTTAACTTTGACAAATTTAGGGCGATGCAACCCAAGAGCAACAAACCCCAAAAACTAAGCCCAAAACAACACCACATTGCCAACTTCCTACTCTTAGGTTTTTTATGCTTCTTGGTATCATTCGGCCGGGCCTGCTAGGTTTCCAATCCTTTTGGGCTTTGTCCCATTTAATTCTCTTTAATAAATTTAAAATTTGAAGAATAGACAAAATAAACCCATTATTTACTAAAATGTGAGATGCAACCCATTATTATTAATAATTTTGATATAAGCCATATTTTACTTTAAAATACTGAGAGGGGAATTTGAACTCGGTTGCAGTGTGGAGAGCACTTCCATTTTAGCCAACTTAACTAAGCCCATGCCTACTACTCTACGAAATGCAACCCAATATTTAATCGTACAAAAAACATGACTTCCTAACCCCAAAAATAAAAGAAACAAGGAAAGGACATGAAGGCTTGGCAATAGACAACAGTGGGAAAAATGTAAAAGATTTGGTGAGCTTGGGAGGGAGGGGTGGAGTTGGTAAAGTGGGAAAAATTTGAAATCGAAATTGGGAAATTTCCAATTTCCCACCCAAAAGGAACCGCCTTTTGGTCTGACCACATTTAAAACAAACCGAAACCCGCTCCATATTTACGACCCGCTTTGGATAAAATATGCACACTGTCCTCCAAGACCTCTTTCCCTCTTAATTTTCCTATCTCTACAGTTCCTTTCCTTCTTCAGCTTCCCTTCGAACCCTTCGAACCCTTCAGGTTTCTCTCTCTCTCTCTCTCTCTCTCTCTCTCTGTTAATCTGTGTTAGATTTCTCTCTCTAAACCTCTCTTTGTGCTCTCGTAGAGAATTGTGTTTCTAGATTAGGGTTTTTTCTTCACTTTCTTTGGATACTGCTTTGTTGACTTTACCAATTTTTCATTTTTGGGTTCGGCGAACAGAGCTAAGCCCAGATCTAGACCCTTTTCTTCGTTTGGAGTTTGTGGTTTGTACAATTTTGTAGTCTATATTTAAACTTGAATTTTCTGAATTTTCCCACTTTGATCTCCGCGATACTTTTACAGATCTGGTTCTCGTTTCGCTTCACCAACTGAGTTTGGATATTTATTTATTTTTGTTTGTAAATACTTAGTCTAGATTTGCCTTCATTTTATTCACGGACGGTGCTTCAGTGTCAGATTTGCATAACTTTCTCCTAAATATTTTTCTGTTTATTAAAATCAGAATTTCAACTTGCTCTGAAGTCCTGATTGGTTTAGTCGTCTTGGTCTCCTGTTTATCTTATCGTTTTGGGTTTTCTTATTTTTTTATTTGTGAATTTTGAAAATAATTTTTACAGGCAGAAATGGCGGGCAAAGGCGGGAAGGGGCTTTTGGCAGCGAAAACCACAGCAGCTAACAAGGACAAGGAGAAGGAGAAGGACAAGAAGAGGCCTGTTTCCCGTTCATCTCGTGCTGGTATCCAGGTATTCCTCTAAATTTTCAATTCATTAAATCCTCTAATTTATTAAATTCATAGAATCTGAACCAAAATACTTGTTGTGATCATGTTTATTACTCATGAGTTGCATTGGGTTAGTTTAATTTGTGTTGTTGGTGTTGCTTTTGCAATTGGGTATGTGTAGTTTCCGGTGGGTCGAATTCACAGGCAGCTGAAATCCAGAATTGCAGCACATGGCCGCGTTGGAGCCAATGCTGCCGTGTACTTGGCCTCAATCCTTGAGTACCTGACAGCTGAGGTTCTCGAGTTGGCTGGAAATGCAAGCAAAGATCTCAAGGTGAAGAGAATCACACCAAGGCATCTGCAACTGGCCATTAGGGGAGATGAAGAGCTTGACACTCTCATCAAAGGGACCATTGCTGGTGGTGGTGTCATCCCCCACATTCACAAGTCCCTCATCAACAAGACCTCCAAGGAGTGATGAAGCTGATGATTTTAATTGGGCATCTCTACTGATGTTTGTGTTTAATATGATGACTCTGTTTTAGTTTGGCATTTTAGTGGTTGTTTAGGTTAGCTGGGTTTGTTAGTAGTAGTACATATGGGCAATCTGGTTGTTTGTCCTTTTGAACTGTTAGCACTTTGTTCATGTTTATGTGTTTTGTTGGATAGTTTTAAGTTTTAACCAGGATTCATCTGTCTTTATTGAACATTCTGTGTCTTTTAATTTCTGCTTTTGGTTGTTGTTAAATGATTGTTGCAAATTAAAGTTCCTTGTACTGAGGCAAAAGATTAATTTGTAGTTTCGTCATCAAATCTTTCAGTCTTGTGTGATTGAAGCATTTGCAGGCAATTGAACAAGTAAGAGGATTTGTATGTTTGGCATTTGATCCTAGTCAATGGTTCAGTGGGCAGTTGGGTTGTCTTTGTGCTAATTGAAATAGCCATTGATGATGAATATAGCAAGCTTAGGACATGAGATTACCATTTCAATTACATCTGGGATATTTTTCGCTTAAATTATTTATGAGTGCAAAAATCAGCAATTTGGCATTTATATATTGATAACCAAGTCTCCCTTTCCTATTTTTTTGAGGCATCATTTTATAATACTAATGAATTAATCTCAATTTTATGTGGGCTTTCACTAGCCATTTTGTTTATGTTTCTGTGCTTGACTTTTGGGTTTATCTTGGTCTCTCTTCACGGCCCAACTTTGCTATTGTCGACTAATAAAATATAGTCATTCTATATATGGCCCTTAAGTGAGGTTTTATCTTTTAATTATTGGATTAGGCTAATCAATTTGATCTAATGGCTTACCAATTTAATCTAATGGTTGAGTGATAAGACCTCACTTAAGAGCGATATATAATGCTCTCACTACTAAATTCTAGATAAAATACAATCATCAAACCCATTTCATTCAAATAGCTCAAATGGATTAACAATGAGAGAACTGACAAGGCGGGAAATGACATCTAAACTGTAATAAAATACAATTTGGATGCTCTTGTGACATCATGAGAAATGTCATCTAATTGTGATTAAATATAAGTTAGATGCTTATGCGATCCTTCGATGCTTGCACTTGGTAACAAACAAAAAACAACCAAGAAGCTACGATGTCGATGTGCACGTGTGTAGATCTATACTCGCAGTTTGTTGTTGACCCTAAATTTCAATTTCTGCTACATATAATGGCTGGACTTTGAGCTTCTATGGGTTAAATCATAAAAAAGTAGAACCTAAAACAAGTTATCATCAGAATTACTATTGTGCAGAAAACTCCCAATAATCTTGTTGTTAATGGACGGACTTTAGACAAACACACAATGTATGTGTCAAACACTCACACACACACACAAATAACCAAGCACAAAGGACACACCAATTTATAGAGGTTCAGCAATTTGCCTACATCCTCTTTGGTGATCTACTTGAGAAATTTCACTAATGAAGATAGATTACAACTTTGGTTTACTAATAAAAATCCCTTTTAAAACACTACCCTCACAATCTGTTTCTCTCACACCCCTTGCTCAACACTTTGATGCATTTGTGAACTCTCTCACACTTGGTTTTCTCTCTTACTCACTAGCTCTCAGTTACTTGGCTCTCTTGCATTAGTTCCTCTTTATAATGCTGGTGTAGATAAGCCTTTGAACTTAAGAGGAAGTTTCCTCCAGCTGCACACCCAACTTTGAGCCACCCTACCTAGAGCTAAATTTTGATGCATTTGTGAACTCTCTCACACTTGGTTTTCTCTCTTACTCACTCAGTTACTTGGCTCTCTTGCATTAGTTCCTCTTTATAATGCTGATGTAGATAAGCCTTTGAACTTAAGAGGAAGTTTCCTCCAGCTGCACACCCAACTTTTAGCCACCCTACCTAGAGCTAAAGAGTAGGGGATCATGAAACAAATCAACAAACTTCCATAAATGCCTAACTCTCCTAACAGATTGCCAATCTCCTTAGAGCTCATAAATGACTTAGGTAGTACTTGCATTGAAATGAAGAAGCAAAGCACAAGGAGAGAAGTCCTTGTTTTGCTCCAGACTTAACTTCTTTGGATCTTTTTTAGGTGAGCCAATTTTTTTTTCCCAACAATTACAAATTGATTAACAAGTTAATTTACACAAGGGACATAGCCAACTCCGTTGATGTTACCCACTAGGCTAACCAATGGTTTTGCCGCTGACGCTACTCTCAATTTATGTTTGGTTTTGATTTCACCAAATACTTTATTATTTTACTTCCACTTGGAAATTGGCTCCTACCAAATTCCCAATACACCAAAACAAACAAATGAATAATCAAAAGGCATCTTTCAAGAGTTTGAAGTTGGCATCATTCCAAAACTACAGGATATCTGACATGGGCTTTTCCTTAAAATGCTCACCATGCACTCCTTGTTCTCATTCATTACCATCTCTCTATCTCTCTCTCTCTCTCTCTCTCTCTCTCTCTCTCTCTCCACAAAAATAACTGTATAAACAACAACTCCTCAAACCCCCTTAGTTCTTCTCTCCTTCTATCTCTGCCATACATGGAAGCATCACATTTTTTACAAAGCAGGAGGAGCTTTGCTGCAACTCTGGCTCACTCACGGCATGCACATGAACACAATAAGCTAAGACACTGTTCGATTGCTGCAGTGCTAACGCGGCCGGCGGAGAATATAACCATAGCAACAGGCAAAAGCAGCACTATAATAATACCAGCAGATGCAGTAACTGGTGCAGAAGAAAAGAGCAGAGTCTATAATGATAACTGGTTTGATCGGATGGCCATTGATCATCTGTCTCAGAATGTTCAAGCTGCAACAGGTTTCACTTTTGTTCTTCCATTCATCTTCATTTTCTCAAGGAAGGGACTAAAACAAAAATCACACAAATGACATTGTTTGAGTCTTTTTCTTTTGTTTTTATGCAGGGTTGAAGAACAACAAGAGTGGCTTCGACAGCTTGGTAGAGGCAGCTACAGCTGCATCAAGAAAATTTAATCCAGCAAAACAGAGAGAACTAGTTATTCAAGCTCTAGATAGTGCCTTCCCAAAGCCTATATTTTCCCTGGCAAGTTCATATAACCATTGTCTTCTTCAGCTATTCCACTTCTGTTTTTTTTCTTCCTTTGCTTTGTTTTCTTTCAAAACTATCTGATTTCAATGTTGAAAGGCAACTTTGTTAATGAAATTCTGTTGGAAAAAAAAAAATCCAATTAGCTGGTGAGGAACATTGTGACGAATGACAGAATTATTGCTGCTATCAAGATATGTTTGGTTGTTGGCTGCCTGCGGTGCCTTTGTTTTTTTCTGTTTGCTGTCATTTTGTTGGGTTTTTGGAGCTTCGTTTGCATAGGTTTCATTATTTGTCTGATAAATTGTGTTTTCCAATGACAGCTTAGAGCAATACTTCCACAATCGAAATTTGCAAGGGAATACTTTGCTATCTTCACCACCATCTTCTTTGCCTGGTTGGTGGGGCCCTGTGAGGTAAGTAGAACAAAGTATTCTTCTTTATATTATGTGAATCTATTTATTATTAGTACTTTTTTTCACTTTTGAATTTAGTGACTTCAAGACTACATACTAATTTGGCCGGTCGTAGGAGCATATCATTACTTAGATAGATCCCTTGCTCTTTGAATTATTGCATCCATGCATTTAGCTGGGCAGCACACAACTGCTTGTGTGATATGTCTATGTGCCAAACAAATGTATAAATATCACAACTCATTAGTGGTCAATCACAATCACATACACAATCTCGGTCGCACGAGAAATTCTGCCATATTATTATCGGTTATATACATTTATGAGTCTACCTCTCTTATCACGTAACTTAAAAATACACTTATTCGGATGTTCAATAGCAACAGAGACAGCAAGCATTTTAAATGGAGTTGAAATGGGAATCTAACTACAGTGATTTAATCTTGAAGGTAAGGGAATCGGAGCTCGATGGAAGAAAAGAGAAAAATGTAGTCTACATAAAGAAATGCAGGTAAGTTTTGTTTAGCTTTGTCATTTAACCCCAAAAGGACCCCACCCACCTCACCAACCTAAGACACCTTCACTGCTTGAAAACAATCTACACCCATGATTGTGGACTTCTTTCTTCTGTATTACCATCATAACCATCTAATTATCACATAGTCTGAGCTTTCCAATTTCCTTTCTCAGATTTTTCATTATGGGATAATTATCTAAGCTGTTCTGCTGTCATTTGTCCAAAAAACTTGCAGGTTTTTAGAGGAAACCAATTGTGTGGGGATGTGCATTAATATGTGTAAGATGCCATCTCAAAGCTTTATCAAATCTTCCCTTGGAACTCCAGTCAACATGGTCCCAAGTAAGTTTCCAGAATTAAACAGGAGTATATTCAGAGTATTTCAGGATCTTAATGCAAGAGAAGCTTCTGGCAACAAAACATATGTTAAATACCTCTTTTAGTAAATCTGCCATTCAAACAGTTAATTAAGGATCAACAAAAAGGGAAAGAAGTAAATCTGTTAAAGTAATAGGCACTTTAAATGTGGAGGGCCATGCTCATCATGTCAATGGAGGGTCCATGCATAAGCCACAAAGGGTGCAAAATTGCAAGTTGACCCAACATTCAGGTGAGGACCCCAAGCATATATAGATTAGTACCATATGAAACACAAAACTTCTAACATGAGATTTTGGGGCCTGAATTCCTAGCCATATATCAAATGTACAAAACTTCATCATTTGTTCCAAGCTAATTCTGAACTCTCCTTTTCCTCCATAAGACCAATCATCTTTACTTTGCACCACACATAATGTCACTACAAGCACCCAATATCGACGGTTTTCGCATGCACCACCTGGCGGCTAATTATAGTTGAACTGTTGATGTAATTCCACTGTACCATTGAATATTTCAGATTTTGATGATATGAGCTGTGAGATGATATTTGGTCAGGACCCTCCAGAGCTATCAAATGATCCAGCACTCAAGCAACCATGCTTCAAACTATGTAATGATTCAGTATACATTTGTTTTACTCTGTTCATATTAATTGCAGCATCTTATAAGTCATGATTTATGCAGGCAAAGTAAACCAGAGGCACAACACTAATGACTGCTCCAAATAACACCATGGGATGCTTACCCAGGGGGAAATAGGTGATTTTGGATGAAGTATGCAAAAACTCAAGCTGCTGTAGAATGTCAAAGAAATGTCATCACAACAAAGCTCAATGCTCAATATCTGGTTCTTGGACTTGAAAGTTTGTGACACAAATTTGGACAACAGATGAAACTTGCAGCTCCAACAAGCAACTGAAAGATTATGGTGTGTCAACTCAAGGAACTTGTTGATCCTAGTTGAAACAAATTTGTTTTGAAAATGTGGTTCATGAGGCATGAGAGAAAAAAGAATAATAATAATAGTGGTAATGATGTACATATGACAATTGACAAGGCATTATAATTCAAATCTTCGTTTTTTCCCTAATTCAAAAGCCAATTAGGTTTTTTTGTGAGAAGAAAGAGGTTTTTGACATGAGATTTAATGTAGGGTATAAGTTCAGCAGAGGGTGGCCCAGCAATGTCTCCCACCATCAGTTTGCTGCTAAATGACTAAGTTCAGAGACTCCTCTGCCGTCTTTTCTGTCTCACTAAGAGAGTAACAAAGTGCTATGACCAACTTTGACCCATTAAAATATTCAACTTATGAAAGTGGATTTCTTCCATAATGAAAATACTTTGAAGTTTTTCATGTGCTCAGATAGCAGAGATAGTGGTGGATATTTAAGTATGTTCAGAGTCTAGGAAAACAAAAACAACTAGCAAAGAAGAATTTTTGGCTCTTCTTCTAAGTTCTAACAAGCATCATTCAGATACGCATCTTCTTTGCATGTCAAGCAACACAAGTTAATCTACAAAATAAACACAACTTTGGATTTTGTACCAAAAAAAGAAAAGAAAAAGAAATTCTCAGACCAGAAAACCATCAAATTGGTACCAAAAATATTGATGGGGGGCGAAGAGCTCAGCCCTCAAATTCTCCAATGAAGATATTTATAGGCTTCTACTATAGCCACTACACCTAAATTCTGTGCTTATCCTCCCACAAAACCCTTGTGATGTCATTAGCTAGTCATTATGAAGTGTCCTCATGTCCCTTAATTGAGTTCATATTGTAAGCAGCATTTTCACTTTCTCTCACCTCTCCATTTGCTCATAAACACTGTAATGCCATCATGCTTGGTGTGTGTGTGTGTGTGATATAAAAAGCTGAAGACTTGAAGGGTTTTCATTCAAATGACAATTGGGGACATGCCATCATCATCATAATCATCATCCAAACTTGATGAAAATCAAAGGGTCTCAAATAATCTGTGCAGAACATAGGCTGGAAGGCTCTGTGTGCAATTATTCCCCCATAGCATACATAAACAAGCACAAATTCGAGAAAATACTAAATATAGTTTTGAGAATTTGACAGAAAAGCATACTCATAAATGGGCAAGGCGAAGTAGATGCCTTGGCAGCTTGGCTTTTGGTTATTTCTTCAATCTGAGGTGAGAAGCTGGGGGCAGATGTCCATGGCCCTCCAAGGCTGACTGATTGAGGAGCAATCTTTTGGCCCATAATTTAGTAGACCTCGGTAGTTTTTGAAACGTCCATATTCTACTGTAGAGCCTAAACCCATATGGATAAGGCCCAGAATGAAATAAAAAAAAGGCAAACCAAAGCAACCCTTGCTTTGTAGATTACAAAGCCCGATCCACTTCAAAAATTTATAATTTTCCTTTGGGTGAAAAATAAATTCTTCATTTTTTTGTATACAAGTGATTTCTGAGCAGGGAACTCGGATACTCGGATGTAAGGTAACTGATCTTAACCTCTTGACTTACAAGTTATTAATTAGCGATAGGGTATGTGGGTTTTTCTTTTCAAAGAAAATTAAAAATCATGGGATGAGGAAAATCCGTGAGTTCATAGGAAAATAGTCATGAAGTAGCTAGCATGTGGGGGTTGTGATAAAAAAACATGGGTTGTAGAGGCAATTGAATTGATAACAGATGGGATACATTAACCAAATAAGGTACTAGATGATTGCCCATATATGAATTCCAAAGGACCTTTTATAGTGACTTTGCATAGGACTCTGACCCTTTGGTTCGGTTTGATTAATTTCATTGGGGCAGTAGTACGATACAACTGAGAGAGAGAGAGCCAATAATGAACTCACGTTGCTCAGTCAAATTTTTCATCCTGGCAAAGAACCCTATGGAGGAGACAACGACCGGGGGGGATGATGATGACAACTTACCAAGACAAGACTAGTACACAAATTTAAGTTAAATTTTGCCCAGAATGAAATAAAAAAAAGGCAAACCAAAGCAACCCTTGCCTTGTAGATTACAAAGCCCGATCCACTTCAAAAATTTATAATTTTCCTTTGGGTGAAAAAAAAATTCTTCATTTTTTTGTATACAAGTGATTTCTGAGCAGGGAACTCGGATACTCGGATGTAATGTAACTGATCTTAACCTCTTGACTTACAAGTTATTAATTGGGTATGTGGGTTTTTCTTTTCAAAGAAAATTAAAAATCATGGGATGAGGAAAATCCGTGAGTTCATAGGAAAATAGTTATGAAGTAGCTAGCATGTGGGGGTTGTGATATAAAAACATGGGTTGTAGAGGCAATTGAATTGATAACAGATGGGATACATTAACCAAATAAGGTACTAGATGATTGCCCATATATGAATTCCAAAGGACCTTTTATTGTGACTTTGCATAGGACTCTGACCCTTTGGTTCGGTTTGATTAATTTCATTGGGGCAGTAGTACGATACAACTGAGAGAGAGAGCCAATAATGAACTCACGTTGCTTAGTCAAATTTTTCATCCTGGCAAAGAACCCTATGGAGGAGACAACGACCGGGGGGGATGATGATGACAACTTACCAAGACAAGACTAGTACACAAATTTAAGTTAAATTTTGGGCAAATGTGGTCACCTATAACTTGATTGAGCCACCATTCAAAAACCCAAAAACAAAGAAAGAAACCAAAAAACCCAGAGAAAAAAAGAAGAAAAATGATTGAAAAGTCCATGAGAGATGGGCATGTGCTTAGTGCCAGTGCACCCATCTACATCTCTTACACATTCATAGATAAGCTTGTGCCCTTTTGAGATGACAAAGACCCCATCTTTCCCTTGTTTGAGTAACCCTTTGGTTTTTTTTATATTTTTTTCTTGGAAGATTTCTACTCAGAAAGGGAGCATGGGAATTCAATGGAATGAAGGAAATGCCTTGTTAGGTGGCTTTAACACATCAATCAAACTCTTTGTACTAATTATATCTGTGTGTGGTCAGAGACAACCCATCACATATAACAGTAGATACACATGCATGTTCTGAAATTATGAAACGAACCGGAGTTCATAACATGCACATACAAATCCTTTAAGAGAGAAGATAAACATGTTTCACAAGTCTTAAAAGCGGCATCAATTAGCTCTTAATCTACTGATTCATCTTTTTCCAGGGTGGAAATATGAGGAAAGTTGGAAACTATCCCGCTCTTGTTGATCAAAAAACAAAAGAAACCAAGTGGGCAAACCTAAATTTGAACAGACAAGCATGCTGAGGTTCCCTTATCTATTAGCAAACCCCACCAAAATTGAACTCTTTCTTGCTCAAGTGATATATGATAAAGGGCACAACTATGACCCCAACAGTTTACTATTCCTCATGCTAGAAAGAGAGAAGGAAAACAGATAGCCTTACATTATGGATAAGCATATGTGACATGTCTACATTAAAAACTGAACTGGTCCAAAATTTGCAAGGCAAAATAAGAGAGAGAGAGAGAGAGAGAGAGAGAGAGAGAGAGAGAGAGAGAGAGATGAGAGTCTACAAAGACTATATGACTTGTATGATTGAAGGACCACAAAATTGAATAGGGCATCGGCTTTGTTACTGCAGATGATTAAATAAAAACAGTGATCATAATAATGAAAATCCTGAGGAAAGGCATGTGATCAGAAAAACAAAATTTTGAGGACGATGAAGCCGATCTAATAAGAGGACTATTTTCTGTAGCTGTTGAAAAGATTAATTGGAGTTGGAGACACATGGCCTTTGCTGATTGGTTCATAGGCTCTCATAGGCAAAACTAGGCTCTTAGCTGGATTGCTAGTTGTTGCTTCTTACTCACCGCATAGTCTGCTGGGAGCATCTCACACAATATGCAGTTGCCAATTTAATTTGGTTTTTCACTCCAACTCACTTCCTTCTCTATCATACCAAATTGATCTCGAGATGGAGCCACCTCAACTGACATCCTCATTCAATTTTACATTTTCTTTCTATTGATATTTACTACGAGAAAAAACAGTGCTCGAGTCACTTCAACTCACTTCCTTCTCTATCATACCAAATTGATCTCGAGATGGAGCCACCTCAACTGACATCCTCATCCAATTTTATATTTTCTTTCTCTTGATATTTACTACGAGAAAAAACTGTGCTCGAGTCACTTCAACTCACTTCCTTCTCTATCATACCAAATTGATCTCGAGATGGAGCCACCTCAACTAACATCCTCATCCAATTTTACATTTTCTTTCTCTTGATATTTACGATGAGAAAAAACAATGCTCGAGTCAGTCGGTCACATGAAAATGAAGAATTAACACTCAGTCGGTCATATGAAAATGAAGAATTAACACTCAGTCGTTAATGCACGTAAAATGTTTATGATGCATGCAACTCATGTGCGCATCAACGAGTGGTTTTAGCATTTCACTTGTGAGAGAATACTATTGTAGAAAATATCATTGGATTTCGAAACATGAGATCCAAAAATTTAGGCTATGGTGGGGTGGAATGATGATGAGCAGCAGCCATGGAATGTTTACTCATCACTTGGAGACAAAACACAGGAATCAATCTTTGCTTTAACGCTGAAAACATTGCCCCTTTTTCAGGCTACTTTCACTTTTTTTTAACCTCTTTTTGCACATGCTCTGTCCATGCACTTTTCACAACATTTCCAAATGTAATCCACAAATAATATTAGAATTTAGAACAGACACCCCCTTTTCTTTTTTCTTTTTTTACAGACTGCGAAAGCGGATCGTTAGATTTACTTTGCCTGGTTTATCAAAACGTAGAAAAATATTTCCCAAAACTTCTAATCTAAAACAAAAATTAAAACTAAACATCATATTTTAATCTTAATTGAAAAAAAGCGCGCGAAACTTTAAAACTTTATGTTTCCCTCGGTTTTAGAACACCAACTTCCTACAAGGCGCCAATACTTTACTAACGTTGGTGGGAAAAGTAGCGAGATCTCGGATCGTTTCGCCGATCAAGTCCTTGAAAATCAGCCGTTCGATGTCCAAAACGGCATCGGACATTTCGATCGAACAGTCTCCCCATCTGTTGAATGCATCCCCGGCAAGGTCCTTTTTCAGCACCCCACATATGACATCGAACAATTCCTCCGATTCGTCCCTCTCCCGGATTCTCCGAAACTCGGACCAAATTTCAGGCAAGGAAGCCTGGCTAGAAACCGCCTTCCATGGCGGCAGTTGCCGGTTTCGGTCTAGAATTTCAGTGATGGTGTCGAAGATGAGCCTCCTCTCGAGTGTCGAAACTCTGGAGGTGTCTTTTCCTTTGAGATGTTGCTGCTTCTCGAGCAATAGGAAAATATCGGATTCTTCTGGTAAGTAATTGGCAGCTCGAAGGATCTCCGATACGTAGACGAAATCGCAGTCTTCAGATTCTGATTCGGTCCCCCACACTGCCTGCCCCCAAATGTCTTCCATTTCAACTGTTTCATCATAACAAAAATTAAATTAGAAATCAAAATTAAATGAAACAACCAACCAACCAACCACGTTGCTATTCACTCATAGTTATATCAAATGTTATAATTCTAAATCTGTACGGACTATTAAGCCACAAAATTTGACAAAGGACTCTGATGGCCTAAAATGCAGACACGTATGACCAAGGGGGGCAAAGCAAATTTAGTAGAGGTTGGTGGATTTGCAGCTGTTTGCTTAAATCATTTATCTAATAAATGGGTCATTGTCATCGATTACAGTTAGGGGGTTCATCAATTCCATTTGACTGAAATACGCCGTCGTTTCCAAAACAAACAGTATCACTATCACATAGCTCAAAAATACGATCCACACTACAATACACCCCCGTGACTGTACGTAGACCCCCACGTATTTTCCCCGTTAAAATGGTAAGACCAATAAAATCCCTCCACAAGTTACCAAATTTGGGGGGTCCTGCTTCGTGGCGCTTATTGATTGGTGGTTATGACATTAACTTAGAAATATTCACTGGGGAGCAGAGTGCAGAGGAGCCCTACCTCTCTGCTGAAAAAAACAGAGTGTACCAGAGTACTGGTAAACCTAGACAGCAAAAAGCAGAGCCTATATTGGAGAACAAAGACGTCACTACAGTAAAAACCTAAAATCTAGCAATATCTCTCTGTGGAATATATCAATTTGGAAGACCACAGAGACCCAGAGCTTTCTGCTGAACAAAGAAAGTTGGCAGTTATGATGGCAGTCTGTGAACGCTAACAAACGAATCAAT